GTGTGTGTGTGTGTGTGTGTGTGTGATTGTGTGTGTGTGTGATTGTGTGTGATTGTGTGTGTGTGTGTGATTGTGTGTGATTGTGTGTCACCTGTACAGCACAGCCCAGCAGCAGCAGCAGGATCTTCCTCATCTCCTCCAGTCCTTGCTCTGAAAATACACACATCCAGATCAACACACACACACCGAGCTCTGATCACACACTCACAGACGAGCTCTTTAACCCTCAAACACTGATGTATGAAACATCAAACTAACATGAAAACTAACATCACAGCTGATGCAGAGCTCACACTGCTCGATTTTAGCCCTGCGAGTGTGCAAGCTCGTGCAATGTGAACAGAGCAGCGACTGAATGCTGTCCCAGAGAGTCCTGCAGTGTGAGCTCGGCAGGTGGAGCTGAGACGTGCGGCTGAGGTTCACTGTGTGTGTCATGTGTTCCTGACAGGAAACACAGGCTGACATGGACAATGAGTGCCTGAGCACTTCCTGTGCACGACTTCCTGTGACGGACACATGCAGATCCACACAGTGACATCATCACACGCACTACCGAGCTGTACCCTCATTCAGCTCTTTCTGAGCGGAAACACTGTAGTTTTCCAAAAATGTTTGGTAGCACTTTATTTTACAGTCCTGTTCAACATGTACATACTAGATACCTGTTATGGTATAGTTACAAACCTGAACCTACCTAACCTAAACCTAAACCTAAACCTAGCCATGTAGTTATCTTATATTACAGTAGTTTCTGAGGTAAGTACACTGAAGGTACAGGTAAGTGCACATACTGTCAAATAAAGTGCAATCATATGTTTTCTTCTTTGTTTTAGATTTGATCAATTTATGAACTCAGTCTGTCTGCTAATCTTCAAAGTGTTCAGGGTTAAACATTCACTGTGAAGCTATATTTGTGTTTACTAGGGATGCTACAATACAGTTAGTCCACGGTTCAATACGTGCCTCGATTTTTAACCAGGGTTTTCGGTTTGGTTCAGTTCTGATGGCTTGGCACATCAGAGTGTTTTTTTGCAAAAAATTAACAACAAAAAAACTCCTGTAAACCTCTGCACACTGGAAAAAGCGTGGCTTATTATATGTCTGCTTAACATTTCTTTTGAGAGGGGTATTATTTTTCAGATTTTTACCCAAAACAGGATGGACTGGCCATTATTGAGCTCTATAAAGACATGTAATGTGTGTTTCATTCATACTGGACGCCAGAGGGCGCCCTCACGCAGAAACACAACATATGCATCACAGAAGTAACTGACAAAACAATATGGTTTATCTGTGTTCTTCAAGCCATCTTGGGTATTTTATAATGATTAAGTGTGTTTGTAAGCCATTACTAATCGACATAGCCTTTATTACAGTATATAATATACAGTCATTTTTTTCACGTTTTGTTATGTTGTTGCCTTATGTTAAACTGCTTTAAATTACTTTTTTCCACAACAATCTACACTCCATATAACATACTGGTAAAGAAAAAAACAGTTTTTTAACATCTGAGCCTGAGCTTAAACCAAATCAAATATTTCTGGAGAAACCTGAAAATGTGCATCTGCCCTCATCCAACCTGACAGAGCTTGAGAGGTGAAGAATGGCAGATAATTGCCAAATGCTGATGAGCAAAGCTTGTCGCATCAAACAAAAAGACTTGAGGCTGTAAAGGTGCTTCAGCTAAATATTTAGTTAAGGGTATGAATACTTATACAATGTACTTATTTCAGTTTCTTATATTAAATACATTTACAAAGTTGTGACAGCTGTGATTTTGCTTTGCCATTATGGTGTATGGAGTGTAGATGGGCAAAAAAAATCGAATGTGATAGTCATGCGCATCTCGTCAGTAAAGCGGTTCTGTGATTAGTAGTAAATCTCCATCACGTGCTTTCAGATGGAGCAGCATTTACTACACAGACCCATAGTTCACTGACAAGCTACGCAAAACCACATTCATAATCGCAGACGATTCATTGCAGATAATGAACGCCATATTGTGTAGCTTGTCAGTGAACTACGGCTCTGTGTAGTAAATGCTGCGGGTGCAACGGTTCTCGGTAAAAAATCTAACTGTACCGTTCTCCACACGGTTCGGCATACACTAGGACCGCGGTTCAACTTAAATCTGACAATGCATCTGTAATATGGTTTGTTAGAGTTCGGCTAATGCATGTTTCTGTTGATAGATGCAAATTCTGGCTTCCCAATACATTACAACAAGAGCGATGAGAGAGAAAAAAACAATACGTGGACAAACCAGTCCCTCTTTAATCAATGCGAGTGCTGTATGCTGGCACTTATTAATGCCGTCATCATGTGTTGATAATGCAGGTGAGACCTGAACAGCACACGTTCCTATCTGTGTTTAAACTAAACTCATTTAAGCCTTGCCAGTTTAAATATGAAAGAGCCAGAAGACGTGAACTCGCACACGCAGTGAGAAGATCTGTGTGTGCTCATCCGAAGCGCGTGAACCCGCGTCTCAGAACGTGCGCACATATTAAGCTCTCTGTGAAGTATTGTGTTTGAATGGACAAATTCACACAAAAATTATGTCAAAATGCAAATGGTCTTATTTTTATGATTTAGTTTTAATCCAAATGATGCGTGTGCTAAGTGAGTGAACATCAAAGGTCACACAACAGAAGTGCGCTCTCTCTCTCTCTCTCTCTCCATACCGTTAAATAACTTGTGCATTGTTTTACTTACTTGTTTTTGACATATCCGACCGAACTACAAGCTTTCCAGTGAAGTCTGTGAGAAAGATATATTCACTCGACAAGCTCGCGCATCTGTGCCGCCGCGCGCTCAATCTACTCAGAGTGCTTTGTTTATCAGCTCGCGCACACCAGCTATACAGGCGTTAACACTGAATGTTTAACGTTATATTCATTGCATACATATACTTCGTAGACATCCTTAATCTCTAATAACTCCATTCTGCTGTCTGTTGTTCTGTTGCCGGTGTTTCATTGTCTGAATATGGCACTTATCACATGCTGTGTGGTATCGGGGGATTTTAACGAGTACGAGTACAGGAGCTCAGTATCGGGACCGATACCGATACCAGTATCACAACGCATGCGCACGCTTTCCCCCAAGCATAAACAACGCTGATTACATTCTTGGGTACTCTCCAGAATGGCAGAAGACATAACTCAGGGGAGAAGAATTGTTAAATAAATTGTTCTTTTAGTTTTCTTTGTACACAAAAAGTATTCTCGTAGCTTCGCAAAACTGAAGTTGAGCCACTGATGTCACATGGATTATTTAACCGATCTCCTTGCTATGTTTCTGGACCTTGATCGTGGTAATTACATTGCTGTCTATACAGGGTCAGAGAGCTCTCAGACTTCACCAAAAATATCTTAATTTGTGTTCTGAAGATGAACGGAGGTCTTACAGGTTTGGAAGGACACGAGGGTGAGTAATTAATGACAGAATTTCATTTTGGGATGAACTATCCCTTTAAGAGACTCTGTGACAGGTAGGATTCAGTTTATGGCTAAAACCAAAAGGGATTCAATGATTCAGAATCAGATTTAATAATACATTGTTGTCAAATCTAAGCAGTGAGGCTGACAGACTGTGGCTAGTAGAAGTCGTGAAGGGCTGGCACTGTGAGTGTGTGATGTCCTGCAGAGCGAGCGAGGCGAGGCGAGACGTACCGCTCAGAGGAGTCCGGCCCAGCACCAGCACGTCAGGAAGTGACATCACCACCAGCTGCTGCAGCGTCTCCTGGAACACAGCAGAGGGTCAGGAGCGAGCCAGCACACACCATCAGTCCTGACCGTGATTCACTCACACACACACACACACGCCTGCAGTCAGAAACCAGGCTCAATCCAGGACACTTCTGCTCTGCTCTACATCAGAGAACCTCTCAGATCAAGACTGAGCATCAGCTGCACACACACATTTTATTATTTTATTTGGATCCACAAGACAAGCAACAAAAACGGAATCCAAATACCTTGGGAAGTCAGTTTGCAAGATGACAGGTACACATGGCTAACATACATTCACAAGTCCTTATATTTATAACATTCAACACTCAGGGATAGACAAAACAGCTTCGTTTCCATATTTGCATACTCCCTATAGTGGCTGAAACTGAACAGAGTTTTTGCTTCTTTTTTTTGCGATCCACTCAACAGCAGACCTTTAATCACATTCTTGTGCACATGACCTAAACTTCCAAATACTAGGGTAATTAATGCTGGTAAAACTTACCGTCTTTATGTATTGTTTTCAAGTCCTTTACAATCAAATCAACCAGGCGATCGTGTCTGGACACATACAGTCCTTCGTAACAACAACATCCATTTAAGATGTGGGCAACCGTTTCATTTTTCTGTTGATTTTGATGTAACTGACAGTAGGAGTTGTAATTTGACAGATACCATATTGACAGATTGTACATAGTTGGAAGACATTGTAGTCGTGCTTTAATCATAAAAATGAGAATATCCTCTGAGATTGAAAAGTTTGTCAGAACAGAGCGGGACACTGAGTGGTCAGCCGATTGGAGAAGTGCTCATTTTCCCTGTAGTTTCAAGCCCATCCAGTGCTGGACATTTTGGGTTTTTCTGAGGTGAAGAAGTGAGACTCTTACATTATTGGTCGATAGTTGACGAGGTGCACTTTCGATGTTGAGAACCGCTAGAGCAGAGATACGCGGGTCTGTTATTATGTTCTCATTAAGAGCCGCTAGCGCTCCGTCAGGTGCCTGCCAAGAGAGCTGCAGTCCTGTACGCTGGCAAAGATCATTTAAATCGGTGAGTAATTAATGACAGAATTTCATTTTGGGATGAACTATCCCTTTAAGAGACTCTGTGACAGGTAGGATTCAGTTTATGGCTAAAACCAAAAGGGATTCAATGATTCAGAATCAGATTTAATAATACATTGTTGTCAAATCTAAGCAGTGAGGCTGACAGACTGTGGCTAGTAGAAGTCGTGAAGGGCTGGCACTGTGAGTGTGTGATGTCCTGCAGAGCGAGCGAGGCGAGGCGAGACGTACCGCTCAGAGGAGTCCGGCCCAGCACCAGCACGTCAGGAAGTGACATCACCACCAGCTGCTGCAGCGTCTCCTGGAACACAGCAGAGGGTCAGGAGCGAGCCAGCACACACCATCAGTCCTGACCGTGATTCACTCACACACACACACACACGCCTGCAGTCAGAAACCAGGCTCAATCCAGGACACTTCTGCTCTGCTCTACATCAGAGAACCTCTCAGATCAAGACTGAGCATCAGCTGCACACACACATTTTATTATTTTATTTGGATCCACAAGACAAGCAACAAAAACGGAATCCAAATACCTTGGGAAGTCAGTTTGCAAGATGACAGGTACACATGGCTAACATACATTCACAAGTCCTTATATTTATAACATTCAACACTCAGGGATAGACAAAACAGCTTCGTTTCCATATTTGCATACTCCCTATAGTGGCTGAAACTGAACAGAGTTTTTGCTTCTTTTTTTTGCGATCCACTCAACAGCAGACCTTTAATCACATTCTTGTGCACATGACCTAAACTTCCAAATACTAGGGTAATTAATGCTGGTAAAACTTACCGTCTTTATGTATTGTTTTCAAGTCCTTTACAATCAAATCAACCAGGCGATCGTGTCTGGACACATACAGTCCTTCGTAACAACAACATCCATTTAAGATGTGGGCAACCGTTTCATTTTTCTGTTGATTTTGATGTAACTGACAGTAGGAGTTGTAATTTGACAGATACCATATTGACAGATTGTACATAGTTGGAAGACATTGTAGTCGTGCTTTAATCATAAAAATGAGAATATCCTCTGAGATTGAAAAGTTTGTCAGAACAGAGCGGGACACTGAGTGGTCAGCCGATTGGAGAAGTGCTCATTTTCCCTGTAGTTTCAAGCCCATCCAGTGCTGGACATTTTGGGTTTTTCTGAGGTGAAGAAGTGAGACTCTTACATTATTGGTCGATAGTTGACGAGGTGCACTTTCGATGTTGAGAACCGCTAGAGCAGAGATACGCGGGTCTGTTATTATGTTCTCATTAAGAGCCGCTAGCGCTCCGTCAGGTGCCTGCCAAGAGAGCTGCAGTCCTGTACGCTGGCAAAGATCATTTAAATCCAGCCAATCAGAGCGTACTCCAAACCCAAATGTTTTGTTGTCCAATTTTCCATTCGATTTTAATTTAAATCCAAGAAACTGGGGCTCGTTGCATGAAGCAGCCGGTATTTTGCGCCGCTGTAGATGTAGAAAAAGTGACCCACGTGCCTGCTCTCTGACAGATGTATCGTCGTTATTCAGCATGTTAAGAAGATGACCTGTTCTGGAGGCAGTATAAATCCATTCAGTGTTTGGGACACCCAGACCTCCGTCTCGGCGCGACTGGAAAATAATATCTCGGGTTGTATGGCTATTGAGGCAGAGCCATTTTCTCACTAGCTCCGTAACCTGTTCCTCCCAGTTCCCATTAACTGTGAATTTATGCCCCAGATAAGGATAGGTTTCATGACGTTCATATAGAAGGATAGGTTTATGTGCTAATGCAAAGACCGGGGGTTTGTCAGACTTTGAACTATACCATCTATTTCCTCCACTCCGTCTTTCATAAAACGCAGCACACTTTGTATGTTTCATATCCAAACCAGACCACCTTATGAAGTCATCTGTACGAAGAAGCATATTATGAATTACACTCTCATCTCGTGAAGATATTTCCACATCATCCACATAAGCTTGCACTGGATTTGGAGATCGCACACCTGCTGGTGAGCTCTGACACATCCATTTCAACCGGAGTTAATCGCTAGTATAAAGTTATATAGCACTCCAGGGGCAGTCGGTCTTAATACCTCACCCTCACTCACTCACTCACTCACTCACTCACACACTCACTCAATCACACACTCACTCACACTGACTCACTCACACACTCACTCACACTGACTCACTCACACACTCACTCACACTGACTCACTCACACACTCACTCACACTGACTCACTCACACACTCACTCACACTGACTCACTCACACACTCACTCACACTGACTCACTCACACACTCACTCACACTGACTCACTCACACACTCACTCACACTGACTCACTCACACACTCACTCACACTGACTCACACACACACACTGACTCACTCACACACTCACTCACTCAATCACACTCACTCACTCACACACACACTGACTCACTCACACACACACTCACACACACACTCACTCACACACTCACTCACACACACAGACTCACTCACACACTCACACACACAGACTCACTCACACACTCACACACACAGACTCACTCACACACTCACACACACAGACTCACTCACACACTCACACACACAGACTCACTCACACACTCACACACACAGACTCACTCACACACTCACTCACACACACAGACTCACTCACTCACACACACAGACTCACTCACTCACTCACTCACACTCACTCACATACACACACTGACTCCCTCACTCACTCACACACACACACTCACTCACACACTCACACACACACACACACACACAGATGTGCGCTACATGCTGAGGTCAGTCATTATCTAAGCAGCTGCTATGAGAGGAACGCAGCACACACATGATCAGTGAACACACACTCATATTTCAGTCTGATGCTCACATGAAGGTGTGATTCACAGCACAGGATCCGCTGGAGAAGAGCAGAAGCTCAGACACAAACACAGCCATCAGCTCTCCTCTCCACACTGAAGCCTGATCCAGCGCTGTATGTACACTACACAGACCCCAAACAACAAACAAACTACAGCCTCGCACCGCCCAGGGCCTTTTAACAAAGACTGAAACAGAGAGAGGCAGCTGCTATGAGAGGAACGCAGCACACACATGATCAGTGAACACACACTCATATTTCAGTCTGATGCTCACGTGAAGGTGTGATTCACAGCACAGGATCCGCTGGAGAAGAGCAGAAGCTCAGACACAAACACAGCCATCAGCTCTCCTCTCCACACTGAAGCCTGATCCAGCGCTGTATGTACACTACACAGACCCCAAACAACAAACAAACTACAGCCTCGCACCGCCCAGGGCCTTTTAACAAAGACTGAAACAGAGAGAAGCTCATGAGCATCCCGGACACAGTGTCTGCTGAACGCATGTGAGAAGTGAGAACTGTAGAGAGTCAAGCACAAAAACACCTTTCAGGATCGACAACTGCATTTCAATGCAGGACTGAATCCAAACATGCAATGATCGACACTGATAACCACAGCAATGGATCAGAAAAAGCATCTGCATATCTAATGCCAGACTGACTGCACAGACTCACAAAGCTGCCAGAAGACTGATAAAAGCGCAGATAGAGTGCGCTGCTCACCTGATAGCAGGACTTGATCTGCTGCACGAGGATGGACAGGTTCTGGATGCGCAGCGTCGGGTCGTTGTGGACCTTCCTGTGGGCTCTCTGGACGCTGCTGTTTGGGTTTCTGTCAGAACAAACCACACGGACGTTAGACATGTGCAATTAATCAAAATTACAGCTTAAATTTCAACCTCCAATGATTATGACAATACATCAATCGAGATAAACGATTATTGCGCCCCATTCCACCCCCTTTCGAGCGGTGCGCTATCGCTCCTCCATTAAAGGGGTCATCGGATGCCCATTTCCCACAAGCTGATATGATTCTTTAGGGTCTTAATGAAAAGTCTGTAACATAGTTTGGTTAAAATTCTCAATGGTAGTGTAAAAAACACCTTTTTACCCTGTCAAAACAGCTCTTTTCAGATCAAACCGTTTTTGTAGCATTTTCCTTTAAATGTTAATGAGCTCTGCTGACTCCGCCCCTCTCTTCCGAGTCACTCTCTGAGGGACTGTTTACTTTAGGATTCATCGTGAAACTTGCTAATTAGCACGTTATTATGAAAGGCGATTTGCAAAGATTTGTTAAAAAACCTTACACTCACTTCTTCTGTAGGTGAAGCTGGATCATGAATGATTCGCGCGAACATAGATGCATTTATGTAGATCGGGGGTGCGGTCCCTTCAGAAACAAACGTAACCCGCGTCAGAAACGTGCCGCAGCTGGCTGATAAACACAAGCATTAGAGTGGCAGCGATCAGCTCCGGTGGCCGTGGAGCCGTAACGCGCCGCAGACGTGTGCAGTGAGGCCCTGAATCTGCTGTTGAAAATGAACCATCCATTCATCATATCATCATGCAGATCATACACGACAAACAGCGAATTTTTCATTGTT